TCCCCCTTGATTTGGTTTCCAACAATATGTTTCTCACTCCCTTCTGAGCTTTGGTTAGCTCAGAAGAGCTCAAATTATGTACGTAGCAAGTTGTGATACTCTTTGTATGAGGAAGTATAGAATGAAGATATTGAAAGTTGCTTTGTTGTTATTAAGTGCCGTTGAGTCAGTTCTGACCCATGCTTTAGCCTCACAGTAAAGATCTATCTAGTCAAGATTTGCAACAATTGGTAACCATGGACTAGTGAAAGCTGCAATCTGATGGTAGTGGCAGTGTTGAGAAACCAGAGAAAAGTAAGACAGGCTAGGGGCATCCAGACAATTGATGTGTTGGCTCTTCTTGCATAAGGGAAGAAGATAGCCTGGCAGCATGGCAGCTGGTCTTGGGTGTGCATAACAGTCCCACTGCTAAGAGATCCTGTTGTTGTTTTAAACTGCTGTTGAGTCAGGTTCAACTCATAGCGACCCTCTATAGGGTTTCCAAGGAGCAGCTAGTGAGTCTGAACTGCTAACTTTGCAGTTCAAACTGACCTTGTATTCCAGTGTTTATCCTAAGGCAATACACCAGTACTCCAAGATATCCTATGTTATTGTTTTTTTAAGTGCTGTTGAGCCGACCCGGACCCACAGCGACCCTGTATAGGGTTTCCGAAGAGCAGCTGGTGAGCTTGAACCGCCAACCTTATAGTTCAAATGGCTTTGCAGTCTGACACATAGGTAAAGTCAAATTAGTCTGAGAGGGTCTACAGTGTTGAATCTTCCTCTCTGACTATAGATGTTTTCGTACAATAAGAAAAGAAGTAGGTCAGCAGCGGCCTCAACAGAGCTTAACTGTCAAAGAACTTTTTACCCCTTCTGCAAAGGAGTCCTGGTATAGCACTGTGGGTTAATGCGCTGGACTACAAAGTCAGCTTGAACTGTAAGGTCAGTGGTTCAAACTCACCAGCTGCTGCTTGGTAAGTTACTCTCCTTTTGAACTATTACTACAACAATAACAAGAAAGAAAGAAGGTGGAACCAAAGAATAAACAAACAAAAAACCTACTTCATTAAAAAGGTAAGAAGTGCTAGCAATGTGCATTCCTCCTACCAGGTACTCAATCTCCTACATAAAGCACCATCTCAGGAAAAAATAAGACGCTGAATCCATAACCTCCTTGGTGGCATGTTTATTTTTCTACCTGGGATGCGAACAGTGTGGACATGGGTCTGAAAAATCAGCTGTACCGAAACACTCCAATCAATTACAAAACAGAGGGCTGATGGCCATGGAGAGAGAGGGGCGTGGTAGCTCCAGACCAGCTTCCCACAAGGGACTGTGGTCTGAGCCCATAACCCGAGGGTGCTCTAGGCAGGCTGGGGCGGGGCCGTGCAGTACAGACTGTGGCAGTGTGGACAAGAAGGACCAATCACAACAGGGGCTGCTGCTGAGCAGGAGTTTATTGGCTTCTGGCCTCACACTTGCTGTTGTTGCTTGATGAAGTTGATGAGCCCATTGGTGGAAGAGTCATGAGAGGTCACCGGGGTGTTGCCTTCCAGCTCAGGTTCTATCTTCTTAGCCAGCTGCTTACCCAGCTCCACTCTGCCAGAGAAGAGAGGACGAATGGTATGCAGAAGGTTCTAGTGATGCCAGTGAAATCCATGTGCCAACCCAGAGGTGTTCCCCATCCTCCTTGAGTCAGGAACTCACCCCCACTGGTCAAAGCTGTTGATGTCCCAGATGACGCCCTGAACAAAGATCTTGTGCTCATACATGGCTGCAGAATTGGCAAGACAGTGCACGTTAACTCTCCCGCAGCTCAACCCTACCCACCTCAGGCTGCCGTCTTCCCCTACTCACTCACCGATCAGCGATCCAAGGATGAACGGTGTGAGCTTGGTGAACACAATGGAATTGGTTGGGCGATTTCCTTCAAAGACCTATACAATACACCAAGGAGTATTCACAGTTACTCCAGATCTTCAGATGCTCAGAAAGCTCAGCACACCTGCCCCAGAGGCTGAGATGTCCATACAGTTCTACAAGGCCAGACCCTCCTACCTACTAGGTAAGATAGGCCGGTGATGTCAGGAGCTCCTGTCCTGACCCCACAGCTTCGTCCCAGCATGGTAACCCCCAAAGCCCACTTGAGGAGAGAGAGGTGCTGACCTTGTGCGGCAATAGCTTCTCTAAGTCCTCTGGACTCTTCCCCGTGGCCTGGAGCTCCTTCCGGGCCTCTTCTGTTGTTTTCCCCTTCATCAGGGCTTCAGTCTGGGCTAAGAAGTTGGCCAGAAGGATCTGACAAAAGAGAACCAGTTATACTTGGGAGCAAGGGCTGTACTTCAGACAGAAGAGACAAGCACTGCCTACTCAGGCTGAATGAAGCCTGGTCAGACTGCCTACCCTCACTGAACAGCTCAGTGTGGTGGGGGAAAGGAGACAAAAGGTCTCGAGGAAACTGGGGGCATTCACCTTCAGCCATTTAAATAAAATCTATACACAAAGGCCATCAGGAAAGAGCTATAGACCAGTTTCTTGTTTACTGTGGTAAATTCTGTCACGTAACAGGAGACCCACCAAGTTCTTGAGAATTTTACATTAGCAAAAATAATGCCAGCTTAGACTAAAAGGGACAGAAAGTATAAAGTGAAATAAGGCTGCCAGACCCCCAAAGTTCTGTAGGCAGGAAACGGGCTGAGGAGACTACTCAGCGGCAAACAAATGTTTCTTTTCATGCCGCAGGGCAGAGCTGGGAGCACAGTGGGCAGGGCTGTACACAGAGTATCACTCCCAGCATGTGGAACCTCATGACTTTGCACACTAGATTCTGAAATTGTTAAACACTACTGACATCTTTTTTCTTTTCATTTACTCTCCTTTTGAACTAGAAGTACGACTAATTGTTATATTTGTCCTGTGGTTGTATTTTGGGAACAGATAACTTGTTTCTTGAGTACCGCATCTCCATAGGTGGAGAATTGTGCCCAAGGACGGATTATATCCAGAACCTCATTCATATGTAATTTACGGAATTTAGGATAATGAGATTTGGAACTCTGGAGCTAATGCGATTTTAGATGCTGGACTTAGGAAGTTGATGTAGTCAGGAGATGAGACCATTGTGGGAGGGACATGGATCATGAGGACCAGCAGTCAAGCTGTGGTTGGCAAGATGTTGGCCCACTCCTATCTTCGCCCTTGCTGCTATACCTATGCTAAATGGTAAAAGGGACTTTGCAGTTGGAATTAAGGCACCCCTACTGCTGTCCAGTCAGTTCCAACTCACAGTGACCCTACAAGACAGAGAACCGCCCCACATGGTTTCTAATGCTACAATCTTTACGGAAGCAGACTGACACATCCTCCTACAGGGCAGTTGGTAAGCTTGAACAATTGACCTTGCAGTTAGCAGCCCAACACTTAACCCACTGTGTTTGTTCTTATTACGGTTAAAGACCTTAAAACAGGAGATTATCCGGGATGATCCAGTAGGTCCAATGTAATCACAAAGCTTCTTAAGGCAGAAGAGCCAATCAGAGAGAAGCGAAGTTTTGAGTAGAACTTGGCCTGTCTTTGCTGGTTCGGAGATTAAGGGGGCCACGAGCCAGGGACTACGGGCAGCCTCTAGACACTGAGGACAACTCTTGGCAGAGAGCTGGCAAAACACTGGGACCTTAGTCCTCTAACCACAAGGAAAGCAATTCTGCCAACCACCTGAATGCGCAAGGAAACAAACTCTCTTCCAGAACCTCTAGAAAGGAGTACAGTCCTGGCAGCTCCCTAATTGTCAGCCTCGTGAGACTCTAAAGCAGAGATCCAAGAGAGTGCACTGGGCTTTGCCTACTGAAACTAAGAGATAATAAATGGGAAGGCTGCGGCAGCTCAATCTGTGGCAATTTGTTATGACAGCAACAGAAAATCAATACAACTGTCCAACAATGCATCACGTCTAAGAGGTCTGGGTGGAATATGAACCTAAGAGAACGGTGGAAGAGTCTGAGTAGGGGCTCTTACCTTGTGATGCAGTCCCTTCCGTATAGGGTGCTGAGTCTGGACTGGGATGAGGAAGTCACAAGGTATTATCTTGGTACCTTGATGGATAAGCTGGTAGAAGGCATGCTGGCCATTGGTCCCTGGCTCTCCCCACAAGATGGGGCCTGTCTGGTATTCCACACGGGTGCCGGCCTTGGTGATATACTTCCCATTGGACTCCATGTCACCCTGGAATGGGGACAGAAACCCAGCCCTCTAACTGCCTGGTCTGGTCCCTCCATGCATCACCCTCAAGCCCTGCCTGGGATGCATCAGACCATGTTCACCTTGCTCCAGGCCCACAACATGGACTTGCACATATGTATCCACAGACATGATCATTTTGTCAGTCTGACCAACGCTGGACTGGTGAGGACCTCCCTAAGGGGTAGGGACTATGGGCAGCCTCTAGAAGTTGGAAACAACCCTAGGCTGATAACTGGCAAGAAAACAGGACCTCAGTCCTCTAACCACATGGAAATGAATTCAGCCAACCACCTGAATGAGTAAGGAAATGGAATTCTCCTAGAGCCTGAAAAACTACTCAGTCACAAGCCTTTATTTCTTTAGGGAGGGAGGCTGGGGTCCAGAATGCTCTCATTTGAAGTAGATATTAGACCTTGGGGGCACCTCCCTGGGCTCTGGTTATGGCAACCCTCACCAGTAAGATTCACCTTCAGATACTCACAAAAGTCTGCTGTGCCTGCCCAGAGGAACCAAGGGGCTGTAAGACAGGGACTAGGTTCATGCGAGACAAAGCCCGGGGAAGATGCGGAAGGGCTTCTGGAGCTGACTCTGAGCAGGAGAGGGGCTGCTCACACTCTGGGGGGTGCAGGGAGCTGAGTGGCCCAAAGAGACACCACAGCCCGAGAACTTTCTCTTCTAGCGGGACAAGGGCAGTTCAGACCATAGGAGTGCAGGCTCCCAGCTCCACCCTACGGCTGGAGTCCAAGAAAGAGGTGACTCTGGTTTAGAGACATGTCCAAAGCGACGTCACCACAGACACCTCACCGTGTGAGTCAGGCCCCGTCTATGGCAGCCCAGCTCAGCAAACATTCCAGTTAAACAGACAGTCTTTACAAGAGGATTCACCCTGCAATGGGGTGCAAAGGTGGGCCTTGGCCATACCTATGCCCAAAGAGCAATAGGGGAAAGGGCTCTTGCAGGCATCTAGGCATGGGGTCCCCCAGGCTCTCACAGACCCTGCTGAGCCCAAAGCCTGGTGTGACAGCTGGGTTACCTGTTGGAAGTAGGCAGCAAAACGGTGCAGGTACTGGTCATAGGGCAGCATGGCCTGTGTTTCACAGCCAAAGCAGTTGATGTACCAGACACCCAGAAGAGCCAGCAGGACTGGGGCGTTCTTCTCCAGGGGCGTGGTACGGAAGTGCTGGTCCTGAAAGCAGAGCAGAGTGAGGAGAAGGTGAGTAGTTGCCTGGGGACAGAGGAAAGGAGGGAGACAGAGAGGAAGTTGGACCAGCTCTCACACACAAGACTCTGGCTGGCAGCACTTACCATCCAGTGAGCCCCCGCAAGCAGCTGCTCAAAGTTTTCAAAACCTGTGACACAAAAACCGCGTCAACAGAAACACTTATGCCCTGCACCCTCACGTCAGGGGCCACAGCTTTTCCTGGAAGCAGCAAATGGCTGGACGTGGAGTCCGAGAAACAGGATCTGGGAGGCCTTGGGCTTGCAGAAGAAAGCCTCTCTCTGCAGCTCTGAGCTCACAGGCAGGTCCAACTCCACTTAGGAAGTGACGTGAGCACGACTGCAGTTATGAAGGGTACGTGAACAGGCCAAGCTACAAACTCAAATGAACGCCTGAGCCTTCCTCTGGCCTGAAATGTTTCAGCCAAAGTAGAGAGGCCACCAGTCTGCTGGGGACACGAAGGTGTTTGGGAACATAAGACCCTCCACTCTCCCTCCTCCCCCTCCATCCCTGACCTTAGACTGTACCACTGTCTACCCAGGGGGCCCAGCAGAAACTCAAGTACTCACCCACGTGCAGGGCAATGGAAAGTCCGATGGCTGACCACAGTGAGTACCTTCCTCCAACCCACTAAGGGAGACAGGAAACGGTGCTGAGGAGGGGCCGGCACCCGCCACCACCCTCCTGCCACAGAGCTTGGCCCCAGAGAGCACTGTTCTTGAACAGGGACAGCTCTGAGGGCCTGGGCCCAACCCATCTGGCTGCCTGATCCAGTCTCCTCAGACATGGACAGACCCAGGCCCTCAGAGCTATGACCGACTCTGCCTCTCTAGATTGAAAGGTCCAGAGCCCCACACCTGTGCCCGACTCTACCTATTTGGATATGGGCAGTCCCAGTATCTCAGGCCTGACAGTGTCGTCTCACACTAAAGATACAGAGCTTCATACCTGTGTCCAGTCCTGCCTCCTCAAACACAATTAGGCCCAGAGCCTTAGATTTAGGCCAGGCCTCACCTCCTTAGAAACCAACAGACCCAGTGCCTCATACCTGGGCCTAGTCCAGCCTCCCGAGACTGAAAGGCCCAGGCTAGGCCTCACCTCTGTTCACTGACAGGCCGGTACCTCCTCAGACCGACAGACCCAGTGCCTCATACCTGGGCCTAGTCCAGTCTCCTGAGACTGAAAGGCCCAGGCTAGGCCTCACCTCTGTACATTGACAGGCCAGTACCTCATCAGACTGACGGATCCAGTGCCTCATACCTGTACCACCTGCATGGGCACTGAAAACACTGAACACCTACTATCTAAGCCTGGTCCCCTCTCCTAAGACATTCAAAGACCTAGAGATCCTTAATGATGCTCAGCCCTGCCTCCTCTGACAGAAACACCCCATGCTTCAGACCTGTTCCTGGTACCACCTCCTCCTCAGACCTGGGCAGACCCGGCACATACCTGTGCCTGGCCCAGTCTCCTTGTAACCTAACAGGCCCAGAGCCCCTCACCTTAGCTTGACCTATCTTCTCAGCTTAAACACAGGTAGGCCTATCACATGCTTTGTACAAAGGTCTCCTTAGAATCCTCAGAACTTTATTCCTATCTTCCCAATTATTCACAGAGCCCCTAATGCATGCCTACCATAGACAATGATAACAGTTCAGTAAGACAAGAGTTGTAGATGACATAATCATACTCATCAATGTGAAACTGAGATACAAGTGCTCAGGAGGAAGGGACCATGCTGCTGAGAATGATTACATAAAAGGGATCTGAGGAGGAATGAGGAACAGCATTACACCCAGGAAGCGCTGAGGCAGGACAAGCATTCCAGTGGCCAAAACAGCTATTTTATCAATAGTGAGAGAATTAAGGCTTACAGAAAATTATTTGAGTGCGTAACTTCTCCCCAAAATGGCCAAAGTTGTGACCTTCCAGGGCCCTTCTCCTGGAAGCTAATTAAAGCAAGGGGAGGTGTCATACCATCTAGAACAGGGGTAGGGAATTGTCAGCCAGCCCGCGGGCCATAAAAGACCCTCGAGATCATTTGGTCTGGCCCTGCCAAGGCAACCACAGTTCCAGCCATCACACTTATTACTGTTAAGTGCCATCAAGCCATCACATTAGGGGTGAGTTAATTAAATGTTTGAAAAATAGAAGGCTAATTTTCAAGTTGATAATTTTGTATGGCCCTCGAATTATGACATAAATTTTGGCAGAAAAATGGTTCCTCACTCTTGGTCTAGAAGATGAAGGAAGGAAAGAGGACAAGAGGATAGAAGATGAGATATAAGTCTGGAGAAGTAAGAATAGTCTGTGAGTGAGTTTAGATTGGAAGCGGAGAAGGAGACCCCAGTAGTCCTCCAGAGAATGAAGCTACCCTGCACAGGAAGCAGGGAGCAGGGAGCAGGCATAGAAGACTGGGTTAGGAATTCCAATCCAACAGGATGTTGTTATTAAGTGATTTTGAGGTGATTCTGACCCATAGCGACCCTCTCTAGGGTTTCCAAGGAGCAGCTGGCGAGCTTGAATCACCAACCTTGCAGTTCAAACAACTTTGCAGTCTGACGCATTAGCCCACAGCGCCACTCCAGGACTCCCATCAAACAGGATAGGTTGGAAAAATGAGAGAATTAAGTGAGGCCCAGAGTTTTCTGGCTTAGGCAGAGATAAATAGTGGGGCCCTTCACCTGAAAAAAGGCCTATGTTTTGGGGAATCTTATCTGACAAAGTCCTCCAGAACCCACCATACCTGACACAGGCTCTCACACCTCACCTGACAGATTCAATTCTAGAAGTGTGTCCTGAGCATGTGATCAACCCTCAGACTGATAGCTTCCAGGTTCTATCTTGAGCCAATCTCTTCTGATAGAAAAGAACCAAGCAAGCAGAGCTCAGAGGGACCTACTACCACCAAGACAGACGAGCCAGGAGTGGAGAGTTTCCTTTGGCTCTGGGGTCCCTGTACTGTGAAGCTCCAAGATGCAGTGAAAGATGGAGACCAAGACATGGACTGTTCACGGACTACTGGGCCTACAGATGCTCAAAGGAAATAAGGACCTTTCTCCAGAGTCAGCGCTCCGAGTTTGTTCTTATAATCTCCTAAACTGCAAAAATAAACTTCTGTTTGTTCAGATATAATACAAACTTAAGAGAATATTTTCTCTAGGAGCGGTAAATAATTATAATGTACATTTCTTCTGCTTAAAATAGTTTATTAAATAGACAACACAGTAGTATTTTAAGAAAATATGTCACGAAAGCATAGAATCATATTAATTTTATACTTTTGTAGATTAATATACAATTAATCTCTATAGACCTGAAAGACTCAGTTCCAGTTTATTTTTTATATGTTATTTACCTTTTGGTTATATTGCTAAAGAAACAAATCCCTCTCCCTTCTTCTGTTAAAAAAAACAAAAAACAAAAAAACCCTTCTGTTTGTTAAAGTCATTCCCCTGTGATATTTGTTACAGCAGCACTGGATGACTTAGACAAACACTTGATCAGAGTACAAGAACCAGGAGGCTGACTTGGCTCAGGACAACTGCCTGTACCTGATCTAAGAGGCTCCCGAGACAGCACCAGGTAAGCCCAGACAGCTATAATGAGTCTGGCTTTCCCTTGATGAGAGCTCACACTACCCACTTAGCCACACCCGATCCCAATGTAGAAGGCCCACAGGAGGCCCAGGGAGCTAGAGTGGAGCGCAGGCAGGTAGTAAGATTTGACGCTTTCAGGAGTCCAGCTCAGTGTTACACCCCCGAGTCTATGTGGCGAGAGCTCAGGCCTCACCAGCCATCAGCATTCCTGAACTACAGCTTGCCCCTCTCATGTCACTTCAAAAGCCCAGGGGTCCAACTAGTGCTTGTGCCAGGCTTCTAAGAAACCATCCAAGCCCAGGTCTATATACCTCTGCCTCAGGTAGACAGCCCAGGAGTGGACACAGGTGTGAATACTGCACCTAGAAGACCCAGCTCTGCCTACCTGTGTCCAACCCGAGTGCCTCACACTGCAGCATTACATACCTGTTAGAGAACGCCTCCAGACATCTCAGCTGATAGACTAACACGTGCCCACCAGTCTGTTCCTGACTCCTCACACCTCCAATGACAGACCCAGTCCAACTCAGATTCTTCAGACCTTCCTTCTCGAAAGCGGCAGGACTTTGAACATGAGCCTGGTCCCTCAGGTCTGACCTGACTCCGCTTTTCATGTCTCACACACAGATCCAGCACTACTTACCTCAGCTTAACCTCAGCACCAACAACCTCCCGGAGGGTTCTCAAGACCTCGATGGACAAGAGCATCTCTATAGATGTCCTGTGACCCACCCATGTTCCCCAGGCCTTATCTCTGAGACCCAAGTCTACAGGGATTAACCAGAAAGCAGGTACACATGGGCTTACTTGTGTTTACTTACTAATCTGTAGTGTACAAGTAAGCCTATGTATACCTTATTGGGCAGCTTGTTCCTGCGTACCACTGTCCAAAGTCCAAATTGGCCAAAGCCCTCACTTGAGGAAGTCACATCCACCTACTAATGTCTTAACAACCTGGGTCACCAAAGGCCTTCTATGAGAGACTCAGAACACTCTGCTCCACCCCAGGGCCACAAGCCTAATATGAGAGCCTGTTCTCTCTACCTGGGCTTAACCCTTTCCTTCAAGCTTCACCATACAGACCCAGGGGCATACACTTTTGCCTGAATCCAACTCCCAAAAGAGCCAACTCAACTTATATTCAACCATGGCTCCTCAGGCCTCCCAACCATACTTGATGGGCCAGTCTATGACTCACCCAGGTCTTCAAGCACATCATACAAACCAGCTGGTTCTATTTAACTTGACCATGACTTTTTAGATCTCTAGAACAGATCCAGTTTTGTGACCCTACTCTGATCCTGGCTCTGCAGACCTTCCCTGACAAACTTGTTCTACCTACCTGAGTCTAACTTATGCTCTTCAGATCTGATAAAGACTCAAGTCTACAAACCTCTCCACCGATCTTACCTGACTCAGTTCCTGTGAGAGACCACAACTTTTCAGACCTCACCCAGGAGATGCAGTTCTATATACCTAAGTGTGGCCTGTGGGTTAATGCACTGGACTATAAAGTTGGCGGTTCAAGCTCACCAGACGCTCCTAGGAAACCCTATGCAGGGTCGCTATGGGTCAGAACCGACTCGACGGCACTTAACAACAACAACAACAACAACAACACATACCCTTTAACCTCACCTCAGAAAGCCAGGTCTACTCATTTGTAGCTGATCCCAGTTCCTGGGGATCTCACCTGAGAAGCCAAACTCTATCTGCCTGTGTTCGCTTCATATTCTCAGAGGTCATTGGAGATACAGAGTTTCTAGGGGAGCTGAATTGTAGCTCCTCAGACCTCAGGACAGTTGAATGACCCTAATTGATTTTTCAGGCTAGCCAACCTTGCTCACCCTTGCTTTCATGGACTTTTTCTGTCAAACTTAGCTCTACCCACAGACGTAATCCTAGCTCCAGACTTCAGAGCACAAACCAGAGCATAGCCTTAGCAGCTCAGATCTTACCTGTGAGACCCAGAAGTGCAAACCTGTGTCTCACCAGAACACCTGAAACCCAGGCTTCATAAAACCCTCCTAAATGGCTGTAATTCTCATTGCTTTCCCCGACTCCAGATTTTCAGTCCTGTCCCTGTGAGGACCCTGGTACCAGCCACCTCTCCCAGCAGCACAGCTGCTTAGATATCACCTGAAACACAGTTATCACTGGGCCCAGTCATGGGTTTTCAGTCCTTACTGGTCAAAGCTTGCCCTCCTGTGTAGGACTCCAGTGTCCTTACCTGACTAAGCCAGTTCTGCCTACATGTGCCGAAGTCTGGCTTCTCATCAGGCCTCACCTGAAACACCCAGATAGACCCACTTCAGTCCGATTCCCACTTCTGGGATGACACATGACACTGAGGTGAGCCTTGGGAGAGACCAGTACTTCCAAACAGTATCTGAGTGCCTCAGGCCTCTGGGCACCTCATCATGCAGACACAGGTCTCTAGACCTTTGCTTACCATAAGCCTCTTTAAGAACACTCAGTCCATGTGTCTGTGCTCCCCCTGCCCCAGCTCCCCAGTTCTCTCACGCCTTGCTCTCATCTGAGCTGCTCAGACCATATCTCTGTCAGAATCGTCTCTTCCAATCTCACTTCAGAGCCTATGCGTGGCCCGATTACACTATCTCGCCTAAGCCCTAAACTGTCACCTGTCCCTGGTAGCTCACTCCTTAGACTTCACCTCTGGATGCAGCTATGCACTCCGGTCTCCGGTGGCTCAGGCAGGTCCCTCCCCTAGCCACTGTGGTAGATCTGTTAAATCTGGTCCAGGTTTCTGTGTGCTCGACCTGGCCACTTCATCCTCACTCACCATCCCAGCTCCAGGCTCCTGTGCTTAATGTCATATCATTGCCAGACCCTACAAGGAGACCACCCCTGTCCCTATCCTGACTCATCTCTGCATGTAGGCAGTCACGGTACTGAGAGCTGGGTTTCCTGCCTCCCCACCACCTGCTCAGGCTCCAGTCCCCAGGGAGGAGGTGGGGGCTCCCTTTCCTCCTTTATCGAGCATGAAACATTGGCTGGAAGCTGCACAGTCTCTCTCATCTGAGCAGAAAATGGACTCTGTGCCTTTCCAAGGATGGGTGTAACAGATCCCACTGTTCGAACATGTTTAACTCATTACACACATGGATCCCTTAGGACATTAAGATTGAATTCTCTCCCAGACCTTGGTAGAAAAAGGCCCTTAGAGCATTTAAAGTCAGGTATTTACACTGTGGGCACTGCTACCAGGCAAAGAGCGTCCAGTACAGAGGAGAAAACAGACCCAGTGGGGAAGGCCCACAAATGGATGATGTCCTGTGCACTGGGCCTGCCGTGGCCACGTGGTTGAGCCATACCCACTGTATCACAGCACCCTGCCCAGACACCTAGACATACCCACTGTATCACAGCACCCCCACACCCCAAGCCTCCCCTGCATTCCACATCCAGAGCTCAAGCTCACAGCTCTTCTGGTGCCACGGATGCACGCAGATGAGCCCGCCAAGAAAACCACGGTTCATGGCTTGGTACCGGCCACGGCTCCAGCAGAGGGGAGTCCTCATCTGTTGCTATAAGCATCTCTGCTTAAGGTGTGGGTTGTCTGGGCAACCCACACCCTGGCGCCTCAGACCTGGCCCTTCCTCACTGCAGTCCTACAACACTTCCTACAGCTACTTCTACTCAGGACTAAGCTGCCAGACCTCCTGTCTCACCCTGCCCCTTGACCTTTACAGACCACAGCTGCAGCTCACAGAAAGGTCATCACTGAGAATAACTCAGCCTCAGCTCAGTGAGGGTGAGGGGTGGCTCCGATTACCTGACAGCGGGTGCTGTTGGCAAGCACCCAGGGACGTACCAGCTTGGCCTCACAAGCTCTGCTTTGCCCTCGGGTAAGAAGCTGAGCCTTCTTCCTGGCTGAGCTGTTCTCGCCCCACAAGCCTAAGAACTGTGGCCTTTCCCAAAGCCAGAGGTACCACAGGTGCTCCATGTTAACGCTGACCTGACCTCACAGGCCCCTCCTCTGTGGCTCAAGCATCATGATGTGAAAATGAACACAATTCACCCAGTACAGAGGGCCATTACTTACATCCCAGAACTCAAACATGTTTTGAGGGTCAATTCCAAACTCCTTCACTTTGGTCTAAAAAGGACAAAGAGGGAGAGAAGAAATGAAGTGTTTATTATGTGGACAGGAAAGGGTGGGCAGGAACAGGAACCTCAGGCTGTGAGGAGTTGTGTGGACTAAGTCACACGTGTGTCTTCACCTTCCTCAGAGCCCCAAGTGGGACAGGGATGGAGCAGGACCGGCCCCACCCCAGAGTTGAACATCAGGCACCAGCCCCCTCCTGCTGAGGGGGGCTGCACATTCAGTGGGAAGACCTGGCCCCCACAGTCTTCTCTCTAAGAGTCATTTCTTGGGCCTATCAGGGACACCAGAAAATGACCCCAGGATACATGGGAAGCCACGCATGGGCAGGAGCCATACAGCCAGGACATCTGCCCACACTTCTAGTGTCCAGGATGGTGACTGCGCCCCAGGAAACCTTTATGGAAGGATGCCTGACTGTGTTCCTCAAAACTCCACTTTCTGTACTCACTCCCAACAGGAGAACCCCCCTGGGCCCCCAGGAGGCAGACAATGGTGTTAAGGTCAACCAGCCTGTAGATGTCCTCCTGTTTCCCCCATGGGCAGACCAGCACTGTAGGCTGGGTGTGCTGAAGGCAGAGGCTGGAGGAAATTGTCAAGACACAGCTCAGCATAATGTCCACCACATAGCAAGCTCTCATGGCAAGGGCAGATGGTAAAAGCCTGCAGGCAGATGGCCCATTTCTGATGCCAGCATCGGTAATCAGAGCAAAAAGCTGCATCCTTATGTGAGGGCGTAACATCCTTATGTGAGAAGCAAAATGCATCCCAACCTCTGTCATATTCCATTTGGGTATTTATTTGGAGATGGCCCAGTGGCAGCAACCAAGAGAAGTCATGAAGGCTGAGACATTGGTCAGGTTTGGACAGGAATAACATAATCTGCAAGTCCCTTGTCGGGGCTGCAAAGGTTTGAAGGGGTGATGTCAGAAAAGACAAGGACGACTTACAACTCACATCACAGGCAACCAACCATTCTATACCATCAGCTGGACCAACATTCTCCAAACCCATGAACTACATGGGTTATATATTCTGATAGGCCATGACCTTGATGGGCCAAGAGCCTTCCAGGGAGATAGTATGGGAGGACACGTACCGTGTTGGTAGACAGGGCGACAAAGTGCTTCGCAACCGCAGAAGGCTGTAAGAGACAGAGCAAGTGTGACAAACATACCCCAAGAGGGACTGCCCAGCACAGTGATTTTTCTACCTCTGGTGAAACCAAAACCCCTGGAGGGATTGTTTTCTCAGTCCTTAGTTCTGAGGTTACTGCAAGAGTCCCACAGAGGTCAGTCTCATCTTCCCAACCCCCTGGTGTGGCCAGGAGTAGAGGATTCCGAAGGGTTAAGGGGCTTGGAGGTCAGCACCATGGAAAGGGCCCTTAGCCAGTTAGAATAGGTTCTGCCACATTTGCTGTGTCTGGAGGTGGATCAAGCCAAAGATGAGCAATCAACCAGAAAAGGCAGGCGTCAGAAGGTCTGTCTTCTACTTCCAACTTCACGAGAAGCTGGACCAAGTCTGGTCTCTCAGGTGGGTGGTTAGGTTCTTCCCAGTCCACAAACTGACCATCACCCAGCTCAGCACAAGGGAGGCCCATCTACTCACATCCTTTGCCGACATGAGGAACCATTCCTTTGCTGTCTCTGCATTTGTGATGGTCTCCTGAGTGGTAAAGGTCTGCAGGCCAGAGAGCAAAGCCGTCAGTCCCCAAGCTCAGGCCAGGGTAAAACCCTGATCTAGGGGTCGGCATGAAGCCACAACAGGGCCCAGTTTCACAAGGACCACACACATGGGTCAATGCTAGTTAACACAGAGAATCACTTTGTGTTCAGCAAAACTGTGTTTGGGGCTGTTGCTAAGTGACGCTGAGTCAGTTCTGACTTGTAGCGACCCTGTATAAGGTTTCCAAGGAGCAGCTGGTGAGTTCGTACTGCTGACCTGGAGATTAACAATCCAGTGTTTGTTCTACAGAACCACACCAAGACTCCAATGTGTCTGGACAGGGGTCTGCAAATAGCAATGTTACCCTGTGATTCCAGGAGTTCATACAGCCACCCCTCCCCAGCTGTCAAAGGCCAGGAGAAGGACTGAAGCCATGCGGGGCTCTCTGAAGCCTACACTAGGCTGCATCAGATTTCTCAGACTTCTAAGCATTCGTGCAAATAAAGAGGGCATGAATGACAACAAACAAAATCCCTACATTATCAGGACATGGCTCTGGGGTCCGAAAGCAACAAATACTGGGGACAAATATGTAAGAAAAAGAAGAGCAGATCCCACAAGTGAGTGGGCATGGCTTTCAAACAAATTGCTTGCTGCCAAACAAGTGAAAGACTGAGGGCAGCTATGCAGGCCCACAAAGTGTGGGTCACTGAGAATGGGTCCAGTGAAGGGCTGGGCAAAGCATCCTATCCACCCAACCTCTAACACAAGCACACAGGGCTAAAGAGCCAGGCAGTGGGTGGCAACCATACCTTTGAAGCAATGATGAACAGGGAGGACTCTGGGTTCAGGGAGGCAAGGGTTTTGGTAATGTGGGTCCCATCAATGTTGGAAACAAACCAGACGCGAGGACCATGTGAAGAGTACGACTTAAGGGCTTCAGTCACCATGAGGGGTCCCTGTGAGAAGACACAGCATCAGAGAACAAGATTTTGGCGCCCACAAGGGTGGGAGAGGGACCACCAGGAACAACCCCTCACCGCATCCCAAGGTAGACCTCTCCTCACCAGGTCAGAGCCACCGATACCGATGTTGATGACATCTGTAATGGGCTTGCCTGTGTAGCCCTTCCAGTCACCACTGCGGACACGCTGGAACAGAGGGGAGACGTCATTAGCCATGCTCCCTTGTAAAGCCACGGCTCAGAATTAACACTACTTCTGGGTCCTTGCTACTACCTCAGTCCCAAATTTCAGACCCTCAGAAGAGTCTCTTTAAAAACAAAAGGATCCATTGCTTATATTATTACTTCCCCCCTGTATTTAGTTTATAATTGATTTGTTTTGTTATTGTCAATCTACACCATTTCAATAGTTTCTACAGGGACAGTTCGGTGACAATGACTACAACCTTTGAGTTGTACAGCCACACTCACTTTCCTTCTCTGAGTTGTCCCCTCCGGTCAACATAAACTCACACCCCTCAAGTTTCATACTGAATGTTGCCAGCTGCTGTTGTCAGCCTGATCCCACACAGAGAGATCTTAAAACAATGCTATGCTCAAGGCAGACAATCTCTATACTAGGGAAGCTAAATAATTGTTTGGCTCTATGGAGACTTCTGGGAATATTTTTGGTTTCAGATTTAAAGATTACCTCAGGGCTACCAGTAGTTATAGGGGTTTATCCAACCGCGACAACTACAGAAAATTTGGAAGCCATGAGAATTTAAAAGGCTATTTCTGCATTTTCTCCCTTCTGATCAGAATCCTTTATGGAATCTTTGATCAGCAATAGTAGTTGGACATAACTTTTGGTCTCATGGCAAAAGAGGCAGGGATCTCTTGAGACCACAGTAGCCTATCCTTGTCACTCTCACTACCAACTAGACCCTATTCAGAGTAACACTGTGGAATTTGCAAAACCAAGATGAGCTCTCAGCAAAAGCCATGTGCTAGGATTTTTCTGTGCTGAGGACAGAAATATCAGACATGCAGCCAACTCCAAATGGCCTCTTCTGGCCTCCTGATATTTACATGACCCCCCCCACACACATACACTAACAGGGCTGACATATGTGACTATCAGGGTAATGTAAGAATGACAGTTTGATTTAGGAGGCTAGATCATAAAAGACCATGCAGTTTCTGCCTCATTCTCTTGCATCACTGATTTTGGGGAGGTCGGCCTTCATATTCTGAGGGCACTCAAGCAGTCCTATGAAGAAGACTATGTGGCAAGGAACTGAGTTCTCCCTTCCAAGAGCCAGCACCAGTCACGAATGAAAAGAGATGGTTTGGATGGTGCTCAGAGACATTATGCTGATGGGAAATAAGCCAACCAAAAAATTGTATAACCTCACTTAAAAAGACAAAAAGCAGCAAATGTATTAAGACCAAAGTTAACTGGTGCTTACCAGGGACTGGATGGGGGAGAAAACGGGGTTAACTGTGATGGAAAAATCATATTGATAAGATTAAATAGCTGATTATTACAATTGCTATCAATAAGTTGGATGCCTATAAAAAGTTAAATTGACAGAACTTGTGTGATAGAAAGTACAACCAAGCAAGCACCTTGGAAGTTGGTTCCATGGTTTGAAGGTTTAGGGTCATGGTTTCATGACACATCCAAGTTAATTAACCTAATAGCATATTTAGTGCTTCTAGCTACCTCTTAGTTCCCTACGTAATGCCTAGGGTGTCTTCAGAGCTTCTCAATTTGCCTGATGCATGAGAACGAGAGTCAGGTACAGTGTGACTAATTACTTCTGACTCCTCCATTTGTTATGAGACCAGAACTGGATGGTGTCCAAGTATCATTACTGAACACTGTGATCAAATATCTTGATCAAAAGGGGGGCCAATACAGAGTAAAATTTCAAATTTCCTGGCCTCAACAAAGTCTTTCTGCAGCCATGAAGGCTGAATGAAACCCTGGCATCATCTTGAGATAATCTTTAAATCTGAAACAAAAAATATTCTCTGATATCTTAAAATCAACAGTTCAGCTTAACTAATAAAGAATATCCACCTTGAACCTTATGCTCTTTCGAGATCTTCCGATATGAGATCAACATGACAATAGGAACTGGAAAGATTGGACAGGAAACTTAAGTGACAGAGAGTTTAACGAAGGGAGAACAACTCAGAAAAGGAGGGCAGGGATGATTGCACAACTGGAATGCACCCATGTCCCTGAATTGTACCCGTAGAAGCTGGTGAATTGGTCTGTTCTGTTGTATAAATTCTCAACAACAAAAAGTTAAACAAACAAACATGCAAACTGGTCTGGACATGTAGATGTAGAATGAATCTAGCACCAATTCTATGCAGGAGAGGAAGGTTCGACATTTATGGTTGTTAAATAACTTTGCCTCGATGTCCTCATAATTCTCAGAGCATCTCTCAGTTAATCATGACCCATTAAAGAAAGTACAGAGACTACACAAATCAGGGTAGCCATTAAGGAAAACTAGTTCAGAGAACAGTGGCTTGAAGAAAGATTCCAATGAGGCAGAAATTAGACCAGTCTCTCCCTTTCAATTTTCTTTACCAATTCTGGACACCAACTGTCCGTCCACTCTACTTCCCTACTGACCACACAGAACTCACAGACAATAGTCATGATTATGGGGTTTACTAAGGAAGTTAATAGGATCAGGAATGGTCAGGATACAGTTCTTCAGTGAGACCAGTCTCGTCCCACAAGCATGCTGCTCTCTTGGATCCTTCTCAGCCACTCAGACAGTGTTATAAAGTTCTTTTAGAAATGCCAATAAACGCCCAAGGGGCACATCACTCCTTCATAAACCTCAGTCCAAAAGGTGCTTGGCTCTAGCTGATTAAGTGCCTGGAGACAACTCACTCCACAAGCAAACCTTCTAAGAACTTTACTTGTTCTGTGGGCTTGGAAGCCTACCACTCTTCCTTGTACTCTTAGGGCCACTGCTTCAAAACTGTTTTCTCTGGTTTCACAGTGCTCTGTGTCTCCTAAACCAAGGAGGTCAGAGGGCAGGGATCTTGGGCTCCAAAGGATGTGCACCCCACTCTTGGCTCTTCTTTCTTGAAGGTAGTTAAATCCTCATTCCTGCATCTGAGATGAGGGCTCATTTAAAACCCAGCAGGATGATAAAACTGACCAATTCCCACACCCCACACCCCCTACTTGCATGGTCCCATCCAGTTATTTGCAGGGAAATCACTGCACTACACCTTGTCAAACAGCCTATTGAGAAGTACAAATAGTAAGGGACAGAAGCATCCAGCCATAAAAAAGCTAGCACTCATTCCTCAAGGTCAGCAGTTTGAAACTACCAGCTGTCTGGCAGGAGAAAGATGAGGCTTTCTGCTCCCATAAAGATTCACAGCCTTGGAAACCCGTACAGGGTCGCTATGAGTTGGAACCGACTCCACGGCACATAACCACCACTACAATTACTAGTGAGAGTCCTAGTGTGGCGCTATGGGTTAATGCACTACACTGCAAAGTTGTTTGAGCCACAAGGTCAGCAGTTCAAGCTCACCAGCCGCTCCATGGAAACCCTATACAGGATCTCTATGGGTTGGAACTGACTTGTCAGCACTTAACAACAACAATTACTGTGAGCCATCTCGGAAGTGAATCCTTCAGACCCCACCAACCCTTCAGACGACAAACCTCAGCCTGCATTTTGTTTACAACTTCATGACACAGGAGCCAAAAAACTCCTTGCAGAAACACTGCAAATCCCTGACCAGCAGAAATGTTGACTGTTGTTTTAAATTGTTATATTTTAGGGTAATTATTTTAGGGTAACACAGCAATAAGAAACTAGTACCCACACCTTTCCCAAAACCAACAAGACCTAGTGTCTTAATTATCTAGAGCTGCTATTAGCAGAAATACCACAAATTGGTGGCTTTAAACTGAAATTTATTCTCCTACTGTTTAGGAAAGGAGCTCTGGTAGCATAATGGTTATGAATTGGGCTGCAAACCTCAAGGTCAGCAGTTCGAAACTACCAGCTGTTCCACAGGAGAAAGATGAGGCTTTCTGCTCCCATAAAGATTTACAGCCTCGGAAACCCTACACAGGGTCGCTATGAGTCGGAACTGACTCCACTGCACATAACTACCAACTAACACTGTTTAGGAGGCTAGAAGTTTGAGTTCGGGCTCTAGGGAAAGGTTTTCTCTCTCTGTCAGCTGAAGATTCTTGTCTCCTTCAAGCTTCTGCTCTTGGATGATCTTCATTACTTAGCATCTCTCTTTCCTCAACTCCACTTGCTGCCTTAGTCTCTTTTATGTCTTAAAAAGAGACCAACTTCGAATGTATTCTTTGGTTGTTTAAATGATTATATATTCCTGAGTATTTGTGTGCACATCCCCCCTGCCAATAAAACAAAACAAAACAGAACACAAGAGGGAATAGAAGCAAATACTGTTGAATGATGATGCAGGGAGGAAATTGTAATCATTGCAGTGAAACAATGTTGTAATGCCAATGTTCTCCCACGTAAGCTATCACTCAATTCACATTAAAAAGTTAAAGAAAAAAAAGAGGCTGACTTCACAAAAGGACAAATATTATATAAGACCATTATTGTAACAGCTTAAAAAAAGATACCCATACTAACAGGAAAAAAAAGGGACTGATTTATGATACATCCTGTACTAATCTTGCCTCATTAACATAACTAAAACAAATCTATTCCCAAATGGGATTATAATTACAAGTATAAGGCAGGATCAATTCTATAACATCCAGGAACATTAATTTTTTCTTTAAGTAAAAGTAATCTACTAGTGGGAATACAAAATGATACCGTTACTTTGGAAGACTGTCTGGAAGTTTCTTACAAAACTAAACAGAGGCTTACCGCTCAATCCACCAACTGTTCTAGATATTTACCCAGGTGAAATGTAAATGTTTATCTACATAAAAACCTGCTCAGGAATGCTTGTATAGTATCAGCTTTATTCGTAACTGCTAAACATTGGAAACCACCAAGATGTCCGTCAATGAGTGAATGGACCAACTGTGACACACTCGGTTAAAGGACTAGTTAGTATTCAGTAACTGGAGTCTTGGTGTGGTGCTGTGGGTTAATATGCCAGACTGCAAAACATCTGAACTGCAAGGTCGATGGTTCAAGCTCACCAGCTGCTCCTTGGAAACCCTATACAGGGTCGCTATGGGTCAGAATGGACTTGACAGCACTTCACAACAACAATTCAGTAATTAAAAAGAAATGAGCAGGAAAAATAAAAACAAAACAGTCTGACTACCATAAGAACAAGCAAGTTGTTCCCTCGAGAGCCATCAAAGCGAGTGGTCAGGCCCTCTCAAGGTAAACCCGATTCCAAGACTAAAACTCAGGGGAATACACGAGAAGGCATGTGGTCTGACTGGTGACCACGTTAGTCACCGATAAGGGAAAGTGGGGGGAAACCAGCAATAAAGTTGTGAGCTAAATCCGACCACATTCAACAGACTCCTGTTAACCTAGATTGAGACCTGCTTGGCCAGCAGTATGACAAGACCTGGGGACTCCTGGGCCCAGAGACAGTGACATGGCCCCAGAGGACTAGAGCAGAGTGTGAAGCGTCCAGCTGATATGAAATGAGGGGAGATACACAAGAACACCCACACTTGCAGATAGTACCCACTTGACCTGGCTTCAATGGCTGGATGATCAGAACATAACTAGAGGAAGAAAGAAGAGGGAAAAAAGAGTAATCCACTACAATCAGATGAACTTGACCTATGCTTGTGGATGCAGTATGGCAAAGGAGCGAACAAATCTTTACAGTGAGGATCATTCCCATCCCCTTAGTACACATAAGAGTTTTTCTGAGACATAAAAGAGAGTAAGGGTCGACAAGGATGGGTAACTTAGACATTGGCTACTCAAAATGGGGGAGCTCTGGTAGCATAGGGGTTACGAATCGGGCTGCTAACCTCAAGGCCAGCAGTTTGAAACTACCAGCTGTTCTGCGGGAGAAAGATGAGGATTTCTGCTCCCATAAAGATTTGCAGTCTCGGAAACCTGCACAGGGTTGCTATGAGTCAGAACCAACTCCTCAGTACTTAACAACAACAAGTGCAAGAAGTGACTGGCTTACAAGCTTTCAATAGGGAACCTAGTTTCCGAGGGTACAGGGAAAGGTAGAACCTCCACTAAGTGGTATCTAACCTGTCCGGATGGGGATGATAAAAGGTGATGGGAATAAGACTCTTGTGGTTCAAGAGGGAATGATTGCTATCAGGACTGACCGTGAGTGTTGGAAATGTAAAGGTGGACGTTTTCTAACAAAAGGAGTGGAGTGGTTGACTTTGCAGTCCAGGAGAGGATGTCCCTATAACCATCAAGGGAGAAAAGTGAAGTGAGGGACCCTATCTAGAGAAGCAGTGACGCCAGGGATGGAGGCAGACAATGATGTGGAGAGATGGAATGGCTGGGCACTCTAGACTCAGGGAGGGAGAGGGGCTGTGTGCTGGTGGCCAGGGGGCAGGCGTGTGGGGTGTACCCTTTGGTTGTTTGATGATGCATGCAGGGGATTGTAATCATTGCAATGAAATGAAATATGATAGGATGAATGTAAAGATAATGTTCTCCCATGTAAACTATCACTTAATTCACAATAAAAACTTAAAAAGAAATGAATGGAGCAGCTGGGGGCACTGGACTCAGGGAAGGAGAGTGGTTGTGTGCTGATGGTGGTGGGGGGCAGGTCTGTGGGGTGTACCCTTTGGTTATTTGATGATACATGGAGGGGACTGTAATCATTGCAGTGAAATGAAATACAATAGGATGAATGTAAAGCTGATGTTCTCCCATGTAAACCCACATAATTCACAATAAAAACTAAAAAAAAAAAAGAGCTATCACCCCAAGAAAGGACATAGTGGGCACCCTTAAATTCATACTGCTAAGAGAAAAAAGGCAATCTGGAAATGCTATATATACTATGATTCCAGTGGTGTTCTGGTGGCACAGTGGTTTAAGTGCTCATCTGCTAACCAAAAGGTAGGCAGTCTGAACTCACCAGCAGCTCCAAGGAAGAAAGCTGTGGCATTCTGCTTACTTAAAGGTTATAGCCTTGGAAGCATTGTGTTCTACCAGGTCACAGTGAGGTGGAATCAACTCACTGGTAATGGATTTGGTTTTTCTGTGGGGGTGGGGGCGGGTGTGTGTGTTATGATTCCAACTATAAGGCATTCTGGAAAAGGCAAAACTAGAGGGACAGTGAAAAGGTCCGTGATTCCCAGGATGAAGACAGGAGTGGACAGGTGGAGCACAGTGCATTCCCAAGGCAGTGAAAGAATTCTATATGATACTGTAACGGAGGGGCACCTAACATCAAGCATTTGTCAAAAATCCACACAACTGTTCAAGACAAAGAGTGAAGTGGAGCGTGAACTTTGGACTTGAGTTAATAACCATGTATCAGTACTGGTTTATCATCATAACAAATGTTAACACAGTAATGTGAGCTGTTCACAGAAGGAACATTATTGTTCAGGGAACCCTCTATACTTTCTGCACAATTTTCTGTAAACGTAAAACTGCTCTAAATAATAATCTGTTAAAAAATACAAAATCAACTGTCATGAGAAAATATTTGTTAACACAGAAAGAGATAAAATACAATTCTCAGCACCCCAACCTTCAGTGTCTCACCATCAAAGGTTTGTTATAAGCGCCCGGGGCAGTGTGGGTACATGTGTGTATATTGTTCACAGAACTGTGTTGTTGTTGTTAAGTGCCATCACATCAGTTCTGACTCACAGTGACGCTGTATAAGGTTTCCAAGGAGTGGTTGGTGAGTTTGAACCACCAACTTTGTAGTTAACAGTCCAGTACTGATCTTACCAGGACTCCATATAACTACATACATACATCCTTTATTTGACCCGATGAGGCTTTACCACATAGGCAAATCCTGAAACTTTCTTTTTCAACTTCACAGTATACACCTTGGACAGCATGGCAGCTCCCTGACTCCTAACACTGCCCAGGGCTACACTATATTTATGAGGAAGTTTCATTTTCCAGTTCATGGAAAAATGGAGTTGGTTTCCATAAACTTTTTGACAGGCCCTCATTTCTCCTGATTTTACTGGTCTGTCCCAATAAATGATCTCAGGTTTTCTCCATTTTTGCCACTACAAGTGAGGTCAGAGTGGACATCTTCACTCGTCTCTTGGTGAGCTTTGACAAGTTGCCACAGGGAATATTCCTCATAATGGAAATGCTGCCATTCATCAGCAGTTTGGGTTGAACTCTAAATACCCCAGCAGTCTCAATAGGGTATTGCAAGTGCTAGCTCAAGGGAGAGCGTTTCTGGATACATGAGCCAGATCCCTAGTGCCACACCTAAGGAAGCCCGCACAGGTGGATCAGAGAACATCAGACTTCCCCAGTGTGTCAGCTCTGCTTCTCACCACAGACAGCTCGAGATGTCCCTGCCATTACACAGACCAGGTTCCATAAGGGGCATTTAAAATCCCAGATTCCCACCAGGATCCCAAGTCTTCCTCATTCTGGGAAGTCCCACCCCCATGGCAGCCAGGCTGTCAGGATCCAGGCCATGCTCACCTGCTACTGCCTACAGCATCTTCAGACCTGAAAACGGCTCTTGGCCAATCAGACTTTGACCTGCCCCAGGGAGGGCCATTGCTCTCAGAGATCCACGGTGAATGCTTACAGCTGATTCCTCCCAGAGCACGCTGACTCACACAGACACACACGCATACATCACCCGTACAGACACCATCCTTGTATTCCAGGCTTGAGAACATCTGGTTGAGCTTCTCAGCATCACCCCTAGGATACACAGTGGGTACCTCTACCACAGGCCACAGTGGGTTCTTACCATGAACCCTCAGATGTCTATAATCCTGGAAAGAGGCTACCCAGTGGGTGCTATCAGGGGTTCCCTTAGAGTCACGTGCAACACAATTGGACGGAGGCAACGCATCCCAAGTTCAGCAATCACACAGACCACCCGAACCTCAGGCTACAGTGAGGGCTGAGTCCTGCCTCCAAGGAGAGTGGAGGAGCTCCGCACCAGGGCTCCCAGATCCCCATATATAACCAAGGGCAAGTTCAGCCCAGCAGCCACTTACCTCGCAGAAAGACTTCATCTTGTTCAGTACCCTGTTGACCTCTATCATCACATCCTTGCCGTCCACCAGAATGGGTGTGTTGGACCGGTTCCGCAGGGCCACGTGCAGTACTGCTCTGTCCTGGGGATGAGATTCAGAGCATGAAAACACCCACTTCAGGGCACCCACATTTCCAGCTGCACAAAGCCCCGAAATCTACCGAGAAAGGCAAGTCCTGAAGTCTCTGTTAGTACCATGGTCTCCTAACGAGGGCCTACTCATGGTTACAAATTGGGCTTCAAACCGTAAGGTCAGCAGTTCAAAACTACCAGCTGTTCCGCGGGAGAAAGATGAGTCTTTCTGCTCCTGTAAAGATTTACAGCCTCGGAAACCCTGTACAGGATCGCTATGAGTCGGAACCAACTCCACAGCACGTAACAACAACAACTCTGTACTTGTGAGAGTAGAGGCTACCCCAAGGTCCTGGTACAGACCATTGGGGGAAGTGAGGGAGGTGTAGGGAGAACTTGAACAAGTCAAGAACAGATCCTAAGGGCCCATGAGTACTGAAGGCAAGAACAAACATCCAGAGGAAGGAGGAAACAGTGAGCAAAGGTGGAGAGAGGACAACACAGGTCAGAGACAAGTGTAAACAAATGCTTTGTTCTGCTCTGAAAAGGGTCTTCTCTATGACACAGACCAGGTGCCAGGAGGGGCATTTAAAGTTTCCAGATACAGTGGGAGAAAGTGTGGAACAAAATTCAAAATTATTAAAAAAAAAAAAAGACCTGGCTTAATGGTCAGAAAAGACAGGAGAAACCCAAATCTGTGGCCTTAGCCACCTTTCAGATCACCCTCATGGCCCCGATTTTCAGCCAAGCAGTAGACAAGTATAGAGGGAGGACAACAACACTTTTATGGTATGTGTGTTCAACACAGAATGGTTAACCTCTCAAGACCAAAAGGCAACGTTCACCTAAGGACAGGGTTGAGAAGGGAAGGGAAGGAGTGTGAAATGGAAATGAGAAGCACAGGAAGGAAGCAGGATCACTTGTTGCATGGAGAGGATTACAATCATTCAGCTGAAACAAAGTATATGATTTTCTGAATATAAAACTGGCGATCTTCTCTGTAAACCTTCACTCAATTCACACTGTAACTTTCAAATACTGATGATATATACTTTGTGGTTAGTTGGTATTTGAGTCGATCCTGACTGATGGTCACCTCATGTGTGTAGAGTAGGACTGCTCCACAGGGTCCAAGACAGTGACTTTTCATAAGCAAATCATCAGACCTGCCTTCCAAGATGCTTCTGGGTGGGTTTGAATTGTCAACTAGTAATGCAGTATTTCAGTGTTTGTGCTATGTTAGCCAATAAGAGTAGGTTGTATTGGCAGGCAACTTTTTGAAACGTACCCTTTGCCCCTTAGATGTAGAGACATGCAGGCAAATCAAGCTTCCCTCACCAAATGGTCCTATCACCTCCAACTGCCAGAAACCAAACCAGATGCCAAGTCTGTGACAGGTGCCAGGGAGCAGGCCTGGTGACATTTGTGAATAGTACCATTAAGTTGAAGCCAACAGAAGAGTCCTTGAAGGAAAAGACCTCAAGTGGGCAGGAAAAGAATGGTCCTGGGTCTCCAACCCAGTGAGGTTCACTAAGGAGAGCTTCATGGTCCACATTCCACAAGCAAGTCCTACCTCCTCAGAAATGCCCTCTTTAGATGCAGCCTTCCCCTCAACAGATCCCAGAAATGCAGGGATCAGCACCCACCTCACTGGATTATTGTGAGAATGGAAAGTCTGCAGGTTTAGGATTTATAAGGCTCCCAGACCTGACCTTACCATGGTTTCTTATTGACCCCAAGCACTAAGGAGGATGCAGCAAGGATGAGATGCTGGGCCTAGGGGCTCAGGACCACTGTCTCTGGGGACACCATGGTCAACTGGCATAACATAGTGCACACAAAGATAATATTCTTTCTACATCCTACTTTGGTGAGTAGCGACTGGGATCTTCAAAGCTCATAAGTAGCCATTGAATGTGCAACTATTGATCTCTCCATGTGCAGAAGACAGGAAGAGTGATGAAAATGGAAAACTCCTGGAATCAATTAGCCCGGTGGACTAACAGCACACGTGCACCTCAGTCTCCATGCCCCTAAAACCAGAAGAACTAGATGGTGCCTCCCTACCACTATCAACTGCTCTGAAAGGGATCACATTAGAAGGTCCTGGAGAGAATGGGAGACAATGTGGAACACAATTCAAAATTATAAAAAACGACCAGGCTTATAGGTCAGAAAGAGACTGGAGGAACTGAGACTATAATCCTCAACCACGCCTTGTGGTCCAATTTTCAGCCAAGCGGTAGATAGAGATATGGGGGGGGAGGGGACGTAACAATACTAGTAAGGAATGTCACCATGGAATGACTAACCATTGAGATAAAAAAAGGCAACATTTGCCTAATGACAAAGTTCAGAAGGGTCAGGAAGGAGGAATGGAAGTAAGAACCACAGGAGGAAGTGAGATACAGTGGGTATACAGTGGTGGCGGTGGTGGTAGTGATGTGCTGTGGAGTCAGTTCGACTCACAACAACCCCATATAGAATTTCTGAGGCTACAAATCTTTATGGGAGTGGAAAGCCTCATCTTTCTCCTCCAAAACAGCTAGTAGTTTCAAACTGCTGTGGATACATGGAGTGGGTTGCAATCATGGAGATGAAACAAAGTGTATGATTGGATGAATGTAAAGGTGAGCCTTCACTCAATGCACAGTTAAAAAAAAAAAAAAAAAAAAAGCTTGCAGCAAGGATGTATCCTAAGTTTTCCAGAGAGAAGTCTTCCCCCTTCCGGCTTTAGAGGTGAACCTCCCTGAGTAACTATCAGGAAAAGCTCATCAGACCCAACAGCCAGTCTGAGGAAACAGGCGGTCAGGCCCCTCATTAAGTAAAAGCATTGCCTAAGAGAAGGGGTGGGGGTGGGGGAGCCACAGGGCGATGCTGCTGCTAACAACTATATCTCCAAAGAGCTCCAGGGAGTTTGTAAAGCCTCGGGTCCAGTAGGCCAGCTCACCTCAGTGAAGTTGATCTTCTCACCATTGAACATGCGATCCCGGGCAGCCTCCACACCCCTGGACTTGGCCTAGGAAGAGAAGACACTGAGTTCTGGTCCCACCCATGAAGGTTAATACTTCCCCCAATAAGGCTGCTGACAGATAGCTACAGCCTAGCTTCTTCCCTTACTCCTGGAGGAGATGTGTTCAAACATCGCATATGGGGTCCTCATGGATGTTGATCAGAACTTAACCTAGGGATAGGCACCCAAAACTCTGCAATAGCACAAAGGGCCTGGGGGAATTCCTGGAGCCCACTGAGGCTCCCATATTGCGGGTCACAAGTCAAGTCCCAAGAAGCAGCAGCAACTCACCAGGTCCACCAGCATGTGCATCACTTCTTCTGTCACAAGGTTCTTGGAGTAATCCAGTAGAATCTGCCCATGGTTGGTGTTAAGGGTCAAGCTGCAAAAAAATGGCAGGAGAGAAGCTGCTGACCACACACCCTGTCAGCAGGCCTGGGCCAATCTGTCTCCCAGAAGAGCAGCAATAGGAGCTGCTTCTAGAAGAATCATCTTCCCTGGGTCATACCCTAAAAGGGGCCTTGGTGGCCAGGAAAAGTGGTGCTGTCTTATCACCGCTAGGCTAGCCTGCAGCATGTTCACAGGAGCCAGATGCAGACCCTGAGGGGAGAGTTGTCATTCATTTAATACTGAAGGAAAGAGATGAAGGGTGAGGAGGCAGGGAGCTAGTGCAGTGGCCCCTGCCTAAGTCAGGGAGTGACCACTCCCTCCCAGAGCATCTTCTCTGAGACTTCTTTACTCAACACTGATCCCGATGGTAAACTTCGTCTGGAGCCATGAGCCCCCAGCTCCCCGTGGCAGTGGTGGGAGCATCTGAACTCCATTCCCGTCCCCAAGACTGACTCCAACAGATTGCTTCCCGTTTCACTCCTTCCTAGGTTCTAAGACCTCAGTCTCTTCAACAGAAATCCTATCCCAACCCAGTCACTAGGGCTCCTCACAAAAGCCCGGGGTCTGCCCTACCCCTGACCGCACCCCGCATACAGTCCCCAGCCCAGTCTCAGCCAGGAGCTAGGGGAGGGGGCAGCCCTTTCCCGCCTGCAGCTTTGGAATGGGCCGGTCCTCACAATCGCGGAGGGATAAGCTCCTTCTCAAATAGAAAGACTTTATGACCCAGGTTCAGGTGGGCCCCGGGCCATCTTCCACTCCAGCAGCTTGCACAATTACCCAGAGCGTGCAGACGGGGAACTGAGGTCAGGAGAGGAAATGGACACACAACATGGTCAGGAGTGGCGACAGACGGGCTCCGTCCATGGTCCGGGAGGTGTCCGCTACTCCTCAAGATTTATCAGGCCGGGGCCTCTGGAGACCCCATGAGCCCCGGGTACCTCCAAGGAGGCTTCAAGGTCTAGGTGCCGCCTGAGCCTGGGCCCGGGTTCGTGGCTCTCGGGGGCCGCCACCCTTCGGTCCCCCGCGCGCTTGGGCTGCGCGCTCCGATCGCTGTCCCACCCACCCTGGCCTCCGCCTTCGGCCCTGCGCAAGGGGAGCCCGCGCACACCTGAAACGATTGAAGCGTTCCTTGTCAGAGTCGAAAAGACGGCGCAGGTTGAGCTCGGAACCATGCTCGCGGTGCCATTGCTGCAGCTTCTGGAACTGCGGATTCCGGGCGAGGGCAGCCATAGCAGCACCAGTTGGAGACACGGACAGGGACTAGCTAGTAGGAAGAGGAAGGAGCGGCGGGCGGCGCGCAGTGGCCTTTATGGCGCAGGCGCCGGGCCCTGCCCCGCCTACCCGCCCACCTCTCTGCTGCGCTCGCTGTCCGCTAGACGACCTTGCCTGGAGCCATAGCGCTTTCTCCGTTTGCCTTTCCCTTCATCTTGGCGGCCACTTGGCGCTACCACACCTTTGGCCTCTATCCAAAAGTGGCTAGGAAGACGAAGGCCTAGCTTTCCGTGCCTGGGCGTGTTTCTTTCATTCATTCCACAACATTGTACTGATGATCTTACAGGTTTCAGGTAGTGTTCCAGGAGCTATGGAGTCAAGTTAAGTCTGTGGTTAAATAGTCGGTTCCCACGTCTAGCGTGTATTAGGTTTCAGAGGAGGGGCTGGTGGGCTTGAACTGCCAACCTTGTGGATCACAGCCCAGAGCTGATCTTACAGAGCCACATCAGGAGTCCAACCTTGTACATGGTATGCCAAAAAAAAAATAAAAACACAAAATTAAGTGCCATCAAATGGATTTCGACTCATAATGAGCCAGGATAGGGTTTCTGAGCTGTACATTTTTATGGGAGCTGAAAGCCTCTTTCTCAGGCACAGTGGCTGTTGGGTTTGAACTGTCGCCACTGTGTTTAGCAGTTCAGTGCTTATCCTACAGAGTGACCAGGGCATCTTAAAGATTAACCTGCTTATTTCCACTCGGGGCCCTTTGGCATGTTAGGCAAAGGTGATAACCATGCACCACAGAAACAGATAATGGGTAAATTTGTTGTTAAGTGCTATCATTCAGTTAGTACTCATAGTGAGCCTGTATAGGGTTTGAGAGGTGTGACGGATGACTTTGAACCTCCGACCTTGTGGTTTAAACCCACCTTGTGGTCCAGTGTTTTTCCTATAGCACCACACCAGGACTCTATATTGGTAAATGGTGGTGGTGGTTATGTGCCGTGGAGTCAGTTCCGACTCATAGCGACCATGTACAGGGTTTCTGAGGCTGTAAATCTTTACGGAAGCAGAAAGTCTCATCTTTCTCCTGCGGAACAGCTGGTAGTTTCGAACTGCTGACCTGAAGGTTTGTAGCCGGATTCATAACCACTACGCTACCAGAGCTGCTTATATTGATAAATTTGTTGTTGTTGTTGTTAAGTGCCGTCGAGTCGGTTCCGACCCATAGCGACCCTGTACAGGGTTTCCGAGGGTGTAAATCCTTACGGGAGTAGAAAGCCTCATCTTTCTCCCGCGGAGCGGCTGGTAGTTTCGAACCGCTGACCTTACCAGAGCTCTACTAATGAGAAAAAGAAAGCTGGAAAGAACTGAGACTAAACCCAAGAAGCCAACCTCCCTGCCCACCAATCAATTCTGATTCGTTGTGACCCTAAAGGAGAGAGTAGACCTGCCCCAGAGAGTCCCCAAGCTAAGTTCTTTTACCTTAGCAGAAACACCACGTCTTTCCTCCAGCACAGTGGCGAAGTGCTTGGCTGCTAACCAAAAGGTTAATTTGAACCCACCAGTGGCTCTGAAGGAGAAAGATACAGCAGTCTAGTCCCATAAAGATTATAGCCCTTGGAAACTCTGTGAAGTTGCTATGAGTTGGAAATGACTCCTTGGCAATGGGTCTGCTTTTTTAAGTTGGCATCTGAACAAAAATCTGCATAACATGAGGAAGAAAACAAGCCAATTGAGCAAGCAAATCCATCGAAGGAGTGTGGGGAGAAGAAATATTCTAGGCAGAGGGAACTACAAAGAATTCACTGTCATTGAGTGGATTTTGGTTTCTGAGGCTAAATTGTGGCTGGTGGGTTTGAACCTCTAACCTTATAGTTAAGCAGCTAAATGCTTATCCCCCAGTGCCACCAGGGCACAGCAACTGAAAAGGTCACTGAGATGCCTGATGTTGTTAAGTACCATTGAGTCGGTTCTGACTCATAGTGACCCTGGATAGGGTTTCCAAGGAGCGGAAACTGGGGAGTTTGAACCGCTAACCTTGTGGCTCAAAGGGACCTTGTGGCCCACTGCTTTATCCTATGGCACCACACCAGGACTCCAATTCAGATATTTAGATGTTCTAAAAACAGCAAAGAGGTCAATGTGGCTGGAGTGGAGTGAAAGAGGAAAGAGGGGAGTGAGAGAGGGAGAGTGGTAGAAGATGAAGTCAGAGAAGGAAGGGAAGTTAACAAAATCACACCGGGCCTTATATGTCATTTAAAGAACTTTGGTGTTTATTCTGAGAGAGATGAAGGTTTCTGAGCTGATGAAGGGACATCATCTGACATGTTTCATAAAAAACCTGGGAGAGGTTACAAGTTTAGGACTGAAACAGGGCAGAGCACACTCTAGAGTTGCTGGCCTTGCTGGGGGAACTGGAGGATGGAGATATATATTTGTTGTTGTTGTGTCCTGTCGATCCTGTGGATTTCCGAGGAAAAGCTGGTGAGTTTAAGCCACCAACCTTGCAGTTCAGATCGATCTTGCAGTCCAGTGTTTATTCTACAGTGCTAAACCAGACTCATATATATCTTATTTGTTAGGTCTTGTCATGTCAGTTTCATCAAGTTGGTTCCCAACAGTAGCGACCTTGTATAGGGTTTCTGAGGCTGTAAATCTTTATGGGAGTAAAACTCATCTTTCTCCTGCAGTCCAGCACATTAACCCACAGCGCCACACCAAGACTCCATGTTTCTCTATATATCTGTAGAGTCCTGGTGTGGCGCTCACCGGTGAGTTAATGCGCTGGACTGCAAAGTTGATTAGAACCACAGGGTCGGAGATTCAAGTTCACCAGCCACTCCTCGGAAAAACCTATACAGGGTTGCTGTGGGTCGGAACCAACTTGACGGCACTTAACAACAACAAATATATATGTATGTTGGAGTCCTGGTGTGGGGCCATAGGATAAGCACTTGACTTCACTATAAGTTGTAATCGACTTGACGGCACACAATAACAACAAATATATATCTATCTACCAGGTGCTCCTTGGAAACCCTATACAGGGTTACTATGAGTCAGAACCGACTCCATGGCACTATATATATATATATATAGTTGTTAATTGCCATGGAGTCGATTCTGTTGTTGTTGTTAAGTGCAGTGCAGTAGTGGGTTTGAACTGCCAACCTTGTGTACCTTGTGGTTCACAGTCCAGTGCTGAGCCTACAGCGTGCCACACCAAGAGGCATTTGAATTACAAGGTCGGTGGTTCAAGCTCACCAGCTTCTCCTTGGAAACTTAATATAGGGTCGCTATGGGTCAGAATCGTCTCTATGGCACTTAACGACAACAACAAACATATACATAGCTAAGAACAGAGACTCCCAGCCATATATTTACTTCGAGATCACTCAGGAAAATGGCTCACACAATTGTGGGGGCGGGCAAGTCTTAAATCTGTGGGTTGGTGGCAAGCTTGAGACTTCTGCTAGCTTATGGGGTTGTAGAACTGGTGAATCCAAAATCTTCAGGTCAAGAGGCAAGCTGAAGACTTCTGCTGGCTTAGGTTCCAAGAACAGGAGCACAGGTGACAAAAAAGAATGCAGGGTTGAATGAACTTTACCAGAACCTCCATTTACACACAAGGAGGGAGACAGGCCATACCCCTAAGGAAGAACAGGCAGCTACTGATGATTGTCTTTTTAAAGGTTGCACCTTTATTTTTTGACATTCCATAATGTATACTACGAGCAGTTTGGTTCTGTGATTTTCATCAAGTTAAACCATTTTAGATTTATTCAAGATTCCAGAATATTCAGCAATTCTTTATTTCCCAAGACACCATAATATTTTAAGATCAACCTTACACTTTGAAATTCCAAAGTTACATCATTTTCTATATTAACAGAAAACTAGTTTTCCATATCTAGAGGGTCATTAGACACAGTAGCCAAGGAAAGCTAATGCAAAAAGTAGTAGATGGAAGATCATTCACTGGTAGTTGAAAGTCTCTCATTACACAAGACATTACACAATGCAGCCACTCTGGCCATCTTCCTCTGTGCAGAGCTCTGTCTGTGGTAAATCTTGTTTTGTAATTCTCATTGCAGCTCTATGTGGGATGCCCTGCTGCCCTTTCCATTTAACTGAGAGGTAAAGAAATGCAATGGGTAAGGCCAGTCCGCTTACTAAGAAGGTAATCAACCTCAGGCAAAGGCTCTCCCGCTTGCTACTTTCTAGCTCTTCAGCTTTAAGAAAAAGTGCAGAGACTGAGTAGTATCCAGTCTGTATAGGTGGGGCTGATGAAATGAAATTCAGATAGGTCTCTTGTGATACAATGGTGAATAATTGTTATCAGGACTGATTGTGAGGGTTGGAAATGTAAAGGTATACGTTTTATAATAGCAAGGAGGGGAGTGATTAACTTTTCAGTCTAGGAGCGGAGGTCCCTAGGACCATCAAGGGAGAAGAGCAGAGAACAGGAGCCTACCCAGAGAAGCAGTGATGCCTGAGGGCAGAGATGATGACGTGGAGAGATGGAGCAGCTGGGGACTTTAGACACAGAGAGGGAGAGGGGCTGTGTGCTGACAACTGGGGGGCAGGCTTGTAGTGTATATACCCTTTGGTTGGTTGATTATGCATGGAAGGGATTGTAACCATGGCAATGAAAGGATATAAGTAGGATGAATGTAAAGCTAATGTTCTCCCATGTAAACTATCACATAATTCACAATAAAACATTAAAAAAAAAAAAAAAAGAAGAAACAGTACAGAGAAAGTGAGGGAGGAGGTAAATCCTTGATCACGCTGTATTTATTTTAGCATCAATCTGGCTTCTATCATACTAAATACTATTGGTGGCAATGGTAGTGATATGCCATGGAGTCGGTTCCCACTAATAGAGACCCTGTTCAGGTTTTCCTAGGCTGTAAATCTTTACAAAAGCAGAACGTCTCCTCTTTCTCCCGCAGAGGCTGGCTGGTGGATTTGAACTGCTGACCTTGAAGTTAGCAGCCCAACTCATAACCAGAAC